TTAAAATATAATATATATGAATTTTATAATTTTTGGTTATATAATTAAGGATTTAAAAATTGTTAAAGTTGAAATTTGTAATAAAAACATAGTAAGTGAAGTCAAACTTTTGGAAGCAACTGTATATAACTATAATATCTATTTTATTATTTCAATAAAAATGTATTTGTATTTTAAATTGATTAATAAATTGCAATATGGTCTAATTACAAGTATTGCAAAAAAAATTAAATAAATAATAGTTAATAAAAAACTTTTTTTTATTAATTTTTAAATTTTATATTAAAAATATTTATTAAAAGTTTTTTTGAATTTTTTGTTTAATAAAGTTTTATTATTATTATTCTTATAATAAATCAAAAAATATTTTTTAAAAGTTGTTAGTAAATATATTTTTTTATTTACAATTTTTTATAATTAAAAACTTAATAAAAAAAAGTTAAGTAATATTTTTACTATTAATAATAAAAAAGCTTTTTTAAAAAAAATTTAATTATAAAATATTTAAAGATTATTTTACTTTTGCAGTGAATTTATAAAGATTTTTTATGATTTTTTCTTTTGTAATTTTATAAAACTTTTGTTTTATGATTTTCAAAAGAATTTTGTTTATCTTAGTTTAACTTTGAATTTTTGAATAATATAATTTTTATCAAAAATTATTGATTAACATAAAATAAATTAATTTAAACAAGTTTATACTAATTATATTTGTGTATTTAATAAAATTATTAAAGAAAAATTTCAATGATTTTTTTTTTCAATTGAACAAGTTTTTAAAAAATAATATAATATTAAAAACAAGTAACAAGTAATGTAAATTACTGTCTTTTATTTTATTAAGTTTTTTAAGTAATAAAAAAACTTTACCAAATAAAAGTTAAGACCTTTGAACTTCTATTTTAATTAAACAAATTTCTTGAAAAGGTTTTTTATTTTAATTAGGCAAACTCTTTTATAATATAGCATTAATATCAATAGTTATAACAAATAAATTTATATATTGATTAAAAAGATAAAATTTTCAAATATTTTTAAAATATTTTTATTTAGAAATGATCAAATTCTTTAAATGTTATAAAGCTAGAGAGTATTTCAATTAGGCAAATTCATTTCAAAAAAATTTTGTTAAATAGATTAAAAATCTTTTAGAAAAACGTTGAATTATTATTTTTTTTTGCAATTCATATTTTTTAACTTATTTTTTTTCGAAATAATCAACAAAAACAAATAGTTGATAATGATTTTAATAGTTAGAAATCAAGTATAAAACTACTAGAGGATTATAATATTGTTCTCTAAATCTGGCTTAAAGTATCTGGTTGAGACTTAGTTTGAACTAGCTTAACGAACTTATTATATTTTTTAAATAATATAGTCCTTTAACTAATAATATACAATAACGAGTTAGTCATCTTGTAAAAGACTGAAACTTATTATATATTTTTTTTAATATCTCAATAAAAACATCCCATGATGACAGAATTGCAAGTAAAAATAAAAATAATAATAAATAATAGTTAATATCTATATAAATAATAATATCCTAGTTATAAAATTTATATATAAAAAGAAATGCAAAAATTTTTTTATAATTTACAATTTCATTCATATATAATTTTTTTAAAAGTTATACTCTATATACTAGAACTGAGTATACATTTATGAAAAAAAGTATAAAAATAAAATTTTCCATACACAAAGTTCACATTTTATTATTTATAAATCAAATGAATATATTAATTACAAAATATACATATTTATATTGTACATTCTACAAATTTTTTTCTTGAATCAAGAGATAACCGAAAGAAATTGCAATAACAAATAAGCTCACCATAAAAGTTAACTTATTTTCCCAAAAATTAAGTTTGTCATTTTTTCCGAGAGCACCGTTCGTCAATGTTCCGGTGACTTCCACAGTATACTGGGCGTCGGCTGGCACTGCAGCGGTTACTAAAGTGACAACTACCACTGTCTGCGGCGGAATGTAACTTTCAAATGACGTTTTAATTCCATTAGTTGTTGTGTATATTGTAGTAGTGTAACCCGGATAAACCTTCGTTATGGTAGAATAAAATGTAGATGTGACATATTTAGTGGTAGTAACATTATAAGAGTTAGTGTTGGTTGGTGTTATCGTTATTATTGAATTTGAGGCTGGACTGGGTGGTATGGTGGTGGTGATGGTTGATCCTGGTTGGCTTGGATTTCTGATTTAAATTATTAAAGAATATTTAGCATTTACCTAAGAGAAAACAATATGTAAATCACTTACGTAGAAGTCGCCACTTCACAGTCAGTGTTAACACAAACATTTTCAGTCGTAGTTGTTTGAGATGGAGGTGGGTTGTAATGAACAGTAATGATACTCGTACTGGTAAACTCTTTTTCATTAAGTGAAGATGTTGAAGTAGATGTTACTAAGAAAAGAAAATTGAAGGAAGTCTCAGGTAAAGAAACTTGTTATTAAAGCGAAACAATAATTGACATCGAGAATCTTCGAATTTACCTAAATTAGTATTAGACGTTGGAGTGGTTGATGAGGATTGTGTGCTATCGGACGATGAAGTTGAGGTCGTAGTATCAGTTAGGGTATTAGTGGTATCTGTAGAAGTCGAAGTCGAAGTCGTAGGTGTAGAAGTTAATGTTGGAGTAAATGTGAAATTCGAAGAGATAGTTAATGTTGTAGAAGTTGTAGAGATCAAAGTTGTAGATATAGAAGTCGATATCGAGGTAGGTGTAGATGTTGAAGAAATTGGCAATGTTGTAGGAGTAGAGGTCAAAGTCGTAGATATAGAAGTTGATGTTGAAATAGGTGTAGAAGTTGAAGAAATTGTTAATGTTGTAGAAATAGAAATTGCAGAGGTCAAAGTTGTAGATATAGAAGTCGCTATTGAAGTTGTAGAAACTGTTAACGTTGCAGAAGCTGTACCTGAAGTTGATGACGTCAGTGAGGTTGTAGTAGGCGTAGAAGTTGAAGAAATCGTTAATGTTGTAGAAGTAGAAATTGCAGAGGTCAAAGTCGTAGATACAGATATAGAAGTCGATACTGAAGTAGGTGCAGAAGTTGTAGAAACCGTTAACGTTGCAGAAGTTGTACCTGAAGTTGATGACGCCGGCGAGGCTGATGAATCAGACGAAGTTGATGAGGCAGACAGCGACGTAGGCGGGGTTGACGAGGTGGGCGAGGTTGATGGCGTCGGCGGGGTTGATGACGTCGGAGGGGTTGACGAGGTGGGCGAGGTTGATGGCGTCGGCGAGGTTGATGGCGTCGGCGGGGTTGACGAGGTGGGCGAGGTTGATGGCGTCGGCGGGGTTGACGAGGTAGGCGGAGTTGATGACGTCGGCTGAGTTTCTGATGCAGGCGGGGTTGACGACGTTGGCGGAGTTTCTGATGCAGGCGGGGTTGACGACGTTGGCGGAGTTTCTAATGCAGGCGGGGTTGACGACGTTGGCGGAGTTTCTGATGCAGGCTGGGTTGACGACGTTGGCGGAGTTTCTGATGCAGGCTGGGTTGACGACACGGGAGGAGTTGACAGAGCTGATGTCGAATCCGTTACGGGTGTAGAAGTAGGCGTTGAGGTTATAGAATCCGCGGAAGTCGACACTGGTGATGTTGGCGTAGCAGCAGATGTAGCGATTATCGTATCACTTTGTCGTTTTACGATATCATTAACCATAGACGTACTGACGCCTGCCATCAATGTAATCAAAATAAATAGAGAAATAAAGAAGTTTCTTTTATTGTATTTCTTCATCTTAGTTTCCAGAAAATCCGTTAGAAAAAAAAAAAAAAAAGAAGAAAAGTAAGGTGAGCTAAGCTTCAGGCGACAATGTATTCCTAGTTCTATAGCACAATTGTCATAAACAATAATGGTGATGATAACAATAAGTCAATGAGTTTCTACGTCCGTCTTGTGCAATGAGGTTTATTTATTTAAAGGATTCAGATTAATTCGCTGTATTAGATAGTAAAAATGAAACCTGATGTTCAAGTTTTCATAGTAAAATTTTTTGACGATATAAAAATATGAATATTGAATTTGCTCTTTACTATATATATATATAAATCGCCGGCGTTATCTTCCGTAGTGATTATCATGTGTGACGATATAGATAAATTAAATCTAAACCAATTTAAATGTAGTTTTAAAACATTCCGTTTCTTAATCATAACGAAAGCTACGCGTTAGAATCAGGTTATCTGACAACTTGATTTCAAAATAGGAAACGCATTTCTTTTAATATACACTTCCCAACCTCAGTATTACAAAGTTCACCTCATCGAAAATCCTGTTTACTTTCAATGAGACAAAATTAGAGCAGGAAACTAATAATAGAAACGCCTGACGAATTAAGTGGAATTCTTTTCCAAAAACAAGTGACATGGGAGATGCGTCTGATTATATCTTGTATTGTGCTAATTGTACTACTATTAAATAAAGGTTTACGCGACATGATGATCTTTGACACGTGATAGAGTATTTACACAAATCTAATGGTCAAGCTTATTTGCCGATTTAGAAGTATTTGGAGGAAAATACAATCAATATCGCAGTTTGTTATCATACATTTACTATAAAACGTGGATGATTCATATAGGAATCGAAGCAATTACTGTATGACACAAAGAAAGAAAACTAAAGCTTCTGGAATTGCTCAATCATAACAAAAGCAGACTTACCAATAAAATCAATGAATGGCGTCCAGCTAGTATGCAAGAAGATAAAAATATCTACTACACTGACTCAAAAAATTGCCTATTATATCAATTTTTTTTATGTAAAGCGCATAAGTCTAATTTTTTAAATAGCGTATTTATCAATGTTTTATACAATATTTTGATTACATTTTAGCTGTAGAATGTGTAATCGAAATATGCAAATTTATTTGTACAATTTTTTGCGTTTAGTAATATTTTAATATATTATAATGAAAAAAAGCCATATAAACAAATTCATAGCTTTTTTTTTTATTTATTAATGTTTTTTAGCGTGCGATCTCTGTCTAAACAAAAAAAATATTGATATTATTTCTTTAATTCATCAAGGATTGTCTACAAAAAAATTAATTTCAAATTCAAGATTGATTACAATACTGTGTCAATAATATGAAAAGAATTTTGTTTGATATGTAAAAAAAATATCTGGATATTCGCATTCCTTAAATGAATAATATGAATGTATTATTATATGTTCTATTAGTTTTGGTCATATAAAAAAATTTTTTTTTTGGAATAGAGACTTAACTATATTTATTGACTTTGATAAAATAATATATAAAATTAATTGTAGAGGTTACAAAAATTGCTGCTATGGTCCATTATTTATATTACTAAACTTTTAAAATCCAAGTTTTTAATAAATCTATTAGGCAACTTGTTACCTAAAAGTATTCAGTTGAACAAAATTTTTATTACTACTTATCTAAAAAACTGGATATTTTTTATTTAAATCTTCAATTCCTATATATCTTTCCAAACTAATTTATTATTGACTTGATTTGTTAAATCCTTAAAAAAAAGAAATATATCTTTCAAATAATTATAATAATTATAATTTATTATTAATATCAAGTGTATTAAAAAAAATAGTATGAGTTTAGTAGTTTTATATATTATATGAAAGTAAAAAAACTATTATTTATATATAGTATATTATAACTTATAATAGACTTAAAGTTTTTATAGAATCAAAAAATACATTTACATCACATATTATATATATTTTTGTTTATATTTTTACTATTTATTTATTTTTAAATTCTTTGTTAAACTAGGTATATATGCTTTATTAAATATACAGTATGTATATTTTATATTAAAAAATATATTACTAAAGCTAAGTCTCTATTTAACTCACTCATCTCTATTTTAAGAATTATTAAAACTCTAAGTGTAACTTCAGAAATAATTTATTGCTTCATTAGCAATTCAAGTAAAGATCCTTCCAACTGCTAACTTAATTATCTACAGATCACTACTGCAAATTACTCTGCAAGGTTCTAACAGAGCTTAAAATCCAATTCTTTTATTCTATATTTTGCTTTTCTTATTAAAATTTCTTAAGAACTTTTATCTTCAAGGTTTTCGTTTTTTGATAGTAGATTTCTTTTCTTTAGAGTTATAGTTTTCTGATTTGAAAGACATAGTGGTCTTTTTGTCTTGTTCTCTCTATTAATTCCTTATGTTCATTTCTATTTAATTACTTTTTTGCATCTCTTGTTCTAGACTTTTTTTTGAACTTGGTTGCAAACTTTTTTTTTGCATTTTTATTATTCACTTTCTTATTATTATTCCTATTTATTTACCTTAATATTTTAAATCTATATTTCTAGAATAAGATTAATTCTTATAAGGCCAGTACAAAAACTTAGTGTATTTTGGCTAGTTTTAGAAATTTGTTCTATTATTTTAAAGATCTACTTATCAAACTCTCCTATTTCTTTTCAATTATTGATGATCAGCCTTAAATTTTTCTCTTTAACCTCTTTCTTTTTTTTTTACAGTAGCTCTTTAAAGTTTTTGTTGAATTCATCTACTTTTTTATTCCATATTTCTTGTAGCTGATCTTTATTTTTTATTTTTTTTTAAATGCTAGCTTATCCTTGTACCAGGTTAGTACCTTTATTAATTATTAAGATACATTCTAGAGACTAACCAAGATTACTAGTTACCCATATTGTCTAAGAATTTACAGATCAACGAATAGTACAAGGGGCATCTATTTATGTCTCACCCAACCAAAATAGGGGAACTATATTACCATCTAGTATAGAATTCTCTTAATCCTTAACAAAGTTAAAAGAAGATGGATGTATGCTACCAAAATAATGGACCACAAATTGTACTCCCTTATTACAAACCAATGCTTCCTAGGGAATACCACAAGATGGCTTGTTGCTATCCTTTTGGGGGAACTAACATGTCAAGAACTTGCCTAAGATGCCCAGCACCATTGGTGTTGGGGGTGTCTTATACAAGGTCTGAAGACTTTGTTAGCACTGAAAAGAAAAAAGAAAAAATTTGGATCTGTCCTGTGTCTTGACTGGGGCATGGTCTTGTGTCACGGAACTTCTGTCACCAATCTATTGAGAAACTGTTTTTATATGATTCTTGTGTTTTTGTGGGTAGTCAGCTCCATTTTTGTGTGCAGTCCATGGAGCAAACAGTCCATGGGCTTGTTTACTCTTCCTTGATGGCCAATGATTTAGGAGGTTGTGGTATCCTGTATTTATCCGCATTAGCACATGACTTATGGTGGACCCCAGGTTTCTATAGAGCTGAGGAAATACATTCAGACACATGAGGTGGCCAATGAGAGCTTGTTTATCAATCTTGTTCAACGCGTTTCATGTCCACCAATCAGAATCAATAGAATTTGTGCTACCCAAAATTTCAGGGTCAAGCTGGGATAGGCAAAATTTCCCAAAAAGCTGTGAAAAGTGGTAGCTCTAAGAGGGCACACAGCCATTCCAAGGGTGAAAAATGAGTCCTTTGGATGGGAGAGACCCTCTCTTAGGTACTGTTTTATTCCTCCACTTCATCTGATAGGTGGCAGGTACTCTGCTGTTGGTTCTTCTCTCTTGAGAAACTTTCTTGCTGTTGGTAGTCAAGGTGAGTGCTGGACTTTGCAGGTCACAAGAGTCCAGTATTGTTCATAGGAGATTATAGACAATATGAGGGGAAGTAATGGAGTTCTGAAGAAGACCCCTTCAGGTTGGTTTAAAGAAAGTATTAAGACTTTATTAGCATAGAAGTGACAAGACTTCTGCAAACATCTTTTTTGTGTGTGGTCAGAGGATCAGCGGTAAGAGTTTATCAATTTGATAGCTGATCTTTATAGGATAAATATTCTAGCAAGTATTCTATAATTTTATCTTATTGATTACAAGTAATATATTTCACTTGCTTATATAGATTTGGTCTTCTTACAGTCAACTTACTTAAGATAGGTAGCTTATTATTGATCAGTTTTATAAGAAAGCTTCTTTGTTGAAATTGTTTAAAAGATATATTTTACATGTTTTCATTTTTAACACTTTCTTATACTAGGTTCTATGTGTGAGTCTAGTGTTCTGAAATCTGATAACTCTATATTTTCTCTGTTCTATTTTGATGTGTCCACTGATAGATTATTGTTTTATTATTAATATTCTTAATAAACTATCTAATTGGATTATCTAATATTGTCCTTTGTTACTTGATTTTAGTAATTATTTTATATGAAGTGAGATCTTTTCATTCCATCAATAGAAATTTTAGAACTTTCTTAGTTAAGATATCTGCTTTTTTATTATAAAGATTATTTGAATATGCCTTAATTTTTGTAAGCTTTAGATCTATATATATATATTTTTATTAGCTCTATTATATATGCCCATAGAAATCAAATTTTTTTTTTGAGCCATCTTTTGTATATTTTTCTCGAGTTTTCTTTTTCTAAAGATTTTTACTTGGAAATACATGCTTAACTATCTATAAAGATCTTTACTATATTTTTAATTGAAATCATTAATAGTATCGTTATAATTGCTACCAATTCAACTCTTGTAAATAATGGCCAATTGTTTACTCCTATTTGAAACTTACTTTTCTTTTCTTCTTTTTCTATCTAAATCCAAGCTGCTTCTATCTTTATTTCTTTATTTATTTTTTTTTCATAATTAATAAGTATTCTAT